GGGCCTACCGGGGGCCCTGGAGCTATAACCACCAGCAGAAGAAGGTTTGTCTGCACCTTTTTTGATCAGGCACCAAACCTTTGGCTCCTCCCTTGGCCCCTTTGTCCTGGCCCCGGGAGTGTCACTAGCTGGTTGGAAGGAGTGTTCCTGCCCCTGTCCTCCTCTGGTATCCCTCCACTTCTCTGGTGTCTCTCCTCACGAGGCTCGTCCTGCTGGCCCTTCAGCGGGTGGCATCTCAGGCCAGCCAGGTGTCTTCCCACCGGATACTGCCCTGGGACTAGATCTCCGTGGGACTAGAGCTTGGGGGGTCGCATGTGAGGAGGAGCACCTTTCCAGGTCGTTCCAAGCATGGGTCCCCAGGTCCTCCCTTCTCTCATGTTGGGGGCAGGGAGCCAAGCGAAGCCTCTGGCCTGCAGTTCTCCAGATTTCTACTTTCTAGTGTGTTCCCTGGTCTTCAGAGAGTTCTGCCTGGTGTGTCCTGCTGTCTGTTCTGGCTGTCGTGGGGAGAGGTCTGCTTGACTCGGGTTGACATGCCGTTTCTAACCTGTTTTTTGCACTTTGCATCTTTCTCCCTCCTTTGTCTCTCCCTCCATCCCCTCTGTGTGCACTGCCTTTCACTCCGTAGTTCTTGGGGACACATACAATATTCCTTTAGACCCCCGAGGTAAGCAGTGCGACTTTGCAGCCCCATCCTCCCCCTCTGAAGCCCAGTGGGTGAGGTTCCCTGGGGACTGGTTCTCAGGACCTGTTAGGAAGCAGGGGTCAGAGGGACATGAATTCTCCCAGGGTGCTTTTAACTCTCTCAGCTCCCTCCATGGCCACTCTCTGTTTCTGAGCACCCTGCTGGGGCCAGCACCCTGAATGCGCCCCCCAGGCTAACTGAGCCCCTCCCTTGTCTTCCCCTCCCACTGTAGCCTTCCACTGTGAATAGGCAGCAGCTCCCTCTGTTCAGAAGGGTCTGGTAGAGGGGGTTGTTGGAAATGTGGGGAGAAGGTGGAGAGGCTGTGGGAAGCCCATTCTAAGGCTTTGAGGTTGGCTAACAGGAAAAGTGAGCCTTGGAGATGCACAGGGTGGGTCAGGGACCCGGGAGCAAGGGACTGACATCCCACTCCCATCCTGCCAGCTTCCTGCTGACATGGGTCAGCTCCTTAACCATGCCACCCCATTTTAGAGGGCCAGCTCTGGGTTCCAGAAAGAGTCTAAGGTCAGTGCTCCTTGCAGCAGGGGGGCAGCCGTGTACTCAACAGGCACCCAGCTCTGCCCAAGGAAGCTCACAGGCCTGTCCCAGTGTTTCCTCAGCTGCTCCTTGGGCTGGGGGAAGGGCCGTTGAGGGCCTCAGCCGCTGCCATTACAATAACAGGACTTCTGATCTCACAGAGACCAGTTCTTCAGCCACCAGCTACAACTCTGAGTTCAGCAAACGACTGCTAAGCACCTATATCTGTGAGTGTTCTCTCGAGCAGATCAACAGCTCTGATGCCTACATGCCCTGCCTTTTCCCTTCCTTCTTTGTATGCTCTCTAGCTGTTCCCGGGGTCCTCTCCAGAGCCCCACCTGACCTTTGGAATTGCAACCTGACCTCTAGTTCAGGGACCAAGGAGAGTTGGGCAAAGGCTACCTGAGGAGGGATGAGGAGCTGCTAAGTGCACTGGGAGTGAGTCACCTTGGCCAGACTGCCTTGGTGGCCATGGCCCCATCTTTCCTGTACAGGTAAGGTTCTGGGCAACCTGCAGTTGAACTTGCTGAGCAAGTCCAAGGTGTATGAGGACCCAGCACTGAGCGCCATTTTCCTGCACAACAACTATAACTACATCCTCAAGTCCCTGGAGAAGTAAGTGGCCTGCAGGTGTGAGTCTGCAACTCTCCCCTTCCCCTCAGCCATGCGACTGTGCCAGCCCCTGCCCTCCTGGACTGGCAGTGCCCTCTGCAGTCTCCTTCCCTTGTAGACAGATGGGGTGCTTCCCTCCCCTCTGTCCCAGGACCCTGACGGTGGGAGTGCTGCCACCTTAGAGCTCTTGAAGATCAGAGGTGATATGGGAGGCCCTCCTGGCCAATTCTGTATTCTGACCCTTACCCCGCCCAGGTCTGAACTGATCCAGCTGGTGGCCGTGACCCAGAAAACTGCCGAGCGCTCCTACCGGGAACACATAGAGCAGCAGATCCAGACCTACCAGCGCAGGTGAGAGGCCTGGACCACCCTAGCCCTCACAGCACTCCCATGTCCACCGCTTACGCTTCCTTCTCAGCACCTCAGGACAGTGGGCCCCGCTGGAGTGGGGCCAGTAATGGGGACCTTTGGACCAGTCCTCCACTTGGCTTTTAATCAAACTCATGGGGTAGAGGAAGAAGCCCCCCTCCCCTACCACACCTGCTCCTAGGAGCTACTAAGTGGTGGTCTGCCAAGTGTCAAGGCAAAGAACAATAGTTGAAGAGCTGACTTGTCAGAGATGTGGGTAACGCTTAGCCCAGAAGAAGAGCAAAGTTGTAAGAGTGCTTGAACTTGGTCGAGCCTCGCTCCCTGGTGATCTTTCCTATTGGCTTTGTTTCTTCCCTTCACATTTGTCTCCCTCTTCCTTCCCATTTATCTGTCCTCCACATACTCATTTCTTCCTCATCTGTTTCTCCATCCTAATTTGTCTTGTTATTGATGTGTGGTTGATAGTATTTGTTCAATTTATTGAATACGCAATGTCTGCTTATGTTTTCTAATTTTAAAAGCAAGCAGCTTGAACATTCTCTGTTCCCAAGGGAAAAAAATCTCAGTTGTTTTGCTTTGTTGTGACCCAGATCAATTCCTACCACCGCCCCCATCAAGAGATTTAGAACAAGCAAGGCCAGGGAAGAAGCAACCTCCTGAGGCTGTCCCTTTCAGGCCTCATGCTTCTTTCCCTGTCTGACAGTTGGCTAAAGGTGACTGATTACATCGCAGAGAAGAATCTACCTGTGTTTCAACCAGGAGTCAAGGTGGGCTGATATCCTGGGCAAGGAGTGGATGGACTAGCAGATGGGATACTTTTTGTCATGTCTCTGGGCAAGCATCCCTCTGGGATCAGAGGAACATGTGGCCATGAGGGCAGCAGGAAAGTGGCTGGGCCAGAGGTGTTTGGGGAAGACCAGGGGTGAGTGGGGCAGTTCTGCTCTGAGGAAAGCTTTCGCTGTCCCCTCTCTCCTTCCCCAGCTCCGGGACAAGGAGCGCCAGATGATCAAGGAACGTTTTAAGGTGAGTTGGGGTCCTCTCACCTCTACTGCTTGCTGCTGCTGTCATCGAGGCAACACAGACCCTAAGCACTTGTCTCTTGGTCTCTTCCTTTTCTACCTTTTTGGTGACCAGGGCTTCAATGATGGCCTTGAAGAACTGTGCAAAATCCAGAAGGCCTGGGCAATTCCAGACACAGAGCAGAGGGACAAGATTCGCCAGGCTCAGAAAAACATTGTCAAGGAGACCTACGGGACCTTTCTACATAAGTGAGCCCAGCCCTCCACCTCCCCCTTCCCAGCATGTGCTGCCCACATCCGTAGCTGGGCCTCTGTGTGCTCCTCTTCCTCGAGGAAAAAAGGAGAGGGTGGTGGGTTTGGGCATTAGATCCAATGCCCTGGGCCTTAGGGTAGGACCAGACAGGGATGGTTCATAGGGCCTCCAACACCATTTCTGAGGCTCCATCACAACTGCCTTAGGCTGAGGGTGGAGCTTGGGCGGTCAGCCCTTACCCCGTCCCTGACCGCAGTACCTACTCAGGTTCGGCAGCGTGCCCTTCACCAAGAACCCGGAAAAGTACATCAAGTACCGCGTGGATCAGGTGGGAGACATGATTGATCGCCTTTTTGACACCTCTGCCTGAGCCTGCTACTGTCCCTCCTGGTTCCTTCAGAACTAGCCATGTTATTGGACAGATAAACCAGTGTTAATTTGCCTCTGGGCTGGGTGAGTTTGAAGTCCCTTGGAACAGAGACCTGTCTTCACTGCCCCATCCAGGAGCTCCTTCCCTGAGCCATCTAGTCCAGGTTTTCACTTTCCCCCTGGTGCCCATGTTCCCAGCCAAACCAGCACTCTCAGAACACTGGGTCTCTTCACACCTTAGGTTTTGTGACCCTGATGGCTTCTGAAACAGGAGTGGAAAGAAGGAAGACAGAGGCTTGTGCCCACAGCTGCCTTGTTGTGCCAAGCAGGAGGGCAGAGCAGCCCTACCTCCAGCCTAGTTCACAGCAGGGGATGGAAAATTCCCCCTGCAACCCAGAAATGTGGGTAGGACTGAGTAGTAACCAGAGGACCTGGAGAAAAAGCAATCAGGGTTGACTCTCTGGATTTAATGTGGAAAACACATTCCCCATCCCACAGTCCTGAAGTCTGGGATGTTCTATCTCCCAGGAGTTCACTAGGTTGTCAGGAGCAGGAATGCTTGCTTAGGGTCCTGCACACTGCAGGAGGCAAAGAAGTTCTGACCCACCCTCTGTGGCTGATTCTTAGGCTTGTCTCCCGGGCCCCAGCATCAGTGCCTCTGACCCAGAGCCAAGCAGCAGTGGTTGCAGAAGGACTAGTTTGGCTGCATGCTTGTGGGCTGGGAGACTGGTGAACATTCAGGAGCAAAGTGGGGGTCAGGAGTACAAAGTAGGACCCTCCTACTTAGGACAGACGTGAACAGCTGAGGCCAGGCATGGTGGCTCTCAACCTATAATCCCAGCACATTTGGAGACTGTGCAGGACGATTGTTTGAGACCAGGATTGTTCAAGATCAGCCTGGGCAACATAGTGAGACCCTGTCTCCACAAAAAATAAAAAATTAGTCGGGCATGGTGTCACTTGCCTGTAATCCCAACTGTTCAGGAGGCTGAGGCAGAAAGATCGCCTGAGCCCAGGAGGTTAATCATGCCACTACACTCCAACCTAGGCAACAGAGTAGACTCCAACTCAAAAATAAATTTAAAAAAAGCTGAGTTCAATGAAGACAGACCCTTGAGGTGCACTTGCATTCAGGGATGCGTTTATTTCACACACTTTGCTTGTATGCTGACGGAGAGCTCAGGGTGGCTTGGGGTCCTCCAGAACCAGGGAAGAGAGCTGACTTTCCCCCCTCTCCAGAGACCTTGTCATGGCCCTCCCCTCAGCCATGAGAAACCCAACTGCATCCTAACATCACAGCTTGGGCTGCCTGCCATGGGGTGCAGCCTCTCCAGGGGCTGGATCAGACTTGCACGTTGCCCACGTCCAAACTCCAGCAAAGATGAACTGGCTGCACAGCACCCCAGCCACATACACCAGGAAGAAGATGTGGTCAGCAGTCTCAGCCCAGCTCCTCCTTGACCCTTTCACTCCTCTGGGGGCTTCTGTTGGGGGAGATGCAAGGAAAGGAGCTATTCTTGAGGGCCCCCCAACACAAGCAGAAGGGTGAACCCCAGCGATCGTCCCAGCCTGCATCTCTCCCTTAGATTCTCAACTAATGAAGATTTGGGTCTGGCCCATTCCAGGCTGTTGTCAGTTGAAAAAACACCTTCTTGGCTAGGCTTGGTGGCTCAGTCTGTAATTCCGCGCTTTGGAGGCCAAGGTGAGTGGATTGCCTGAGTCCGCAGGTTTGAGACCCGCCTGGGCAACTTGGCGAGACCTCATCTCTACGATAAATCAAAAAACTAGCCGGGCGTGGTAGCGTGCGCCTGTAGTTCCAGCTACTTGGAAGGCTGAGGCGGAAGGATCGCCGGAACCCAGCAGGTTGAGGCTGCGGTGGCCGGGAGCGGCCACTGCATCCAGTCTGGATGACAGAGTGAGACTCCAACTCAAAAAAAAAAGAAGGAAAAAAAAAAAAAGAAAAAACACCTTCTTGAAGAGGCTCTGCAAAGCATTGGCTTAGCCCAGGGGTTGAGGTCACCTAGGCCTTTAGGGAAGGTAAGCTTTCTCGCTGCTTCAGACTGGCCTTTTCCAAGGAAGGATGTGAGGGGTGGAACCCAGGGACAGGAGGGGCAGCAGGGTGAGCGCTGGAGCCTGTACACATGACTAGCAACCCCATGGCCCACCCCTAGGTGTGCAGCCTGTCACCTCTGCCCCGTCAGGCCTGCTCCTTGGCCTCACCCACCCCCCTTTCAGGAAGGGGTCTCATCCCCTGCTCACCTTCAGAATTAGGCCCTGGATTGCTGTGATCTCGCTGTTCCCTTCTGGGGTCCGGGCTGGGGCTGCACTTGGCCTCGAGGTTGCCCCGGGCCAGCAGCCCAGCCAGCAGCACACTCTCCATGGTGCTGAGGAAGAGCAGCAGCAGCAGGACCGTGAAGTAGTAAACTGGGGCAGAGGGTGGGTGGGACGGTCAGGGGCCAGGTCCTGTGTTGCTGGTGCCCAGCAAGTTGAGCAGAGGCACTCTGGCGTGGGCGACAGCAGGTAGGAGAAATGGGATGGCTGGGTGAGGGGGCAGGGCTTACTGAGCAGTGGGTTGCAGGAGGAGGAGCTAGGCAGGCCCTGCACCAAGGAGGAGTGGAAGACGAGGTAGCCCAACAGCAGCGTCACCTTGTAGGCGATGCGCTCGATGGCCCGGAGGGGCAGCAGCCCCCCGCACACATCAGCCAACAGCAGTGCCTCCGCAGGCACCAGCAGAGCTATGATGGACTTGAGTGCGGTGTTCTTCAAGCTCAGCTGGGAGGGGAGAAGCTGGGGCTTTCCGGAGGGAGGTGGGGGTGGGCAGCAGGGGTTCTGCCCCCCACCTCCATCAGCCCTCTGTCAGCCTCCTCCAAGCCCGACTCACCGTCACCTGGAAGCAGGGCACCAGCTGTCCAGGTGGGACCTCAGTTTTCAGATCATGAACTACATATTCTCTCTTGACACTCACAATCTCATTCACCGCATGGGCCTGGAACTCCAACTCCATCACTGAGAGGGGCAAGGGTGAGAACTCTGAACTAGGAAAGAGAGACCCCTGCCCCCAGATCTTTCTTGGGAGTGGCGCTAAAAGTAAACTGGAGCCCCTGGAGACTTCTCATGGCTTCTAGATTCGGAGATAAAACTGGTCTGTAAGAGGGCTGCCCAAACCTTATTTTGCAACACTCCAAGTTACCTCCAGTTAAAGGAATCTTTATCAGATTCATAGATAAATTTTCATTGTGAAAATAAATCACTTTGCAGCACTTGACAGAGGAGTAAATGGTCACAGGGTCGTCTTCTAGTGTATCATCTCACACCTGAAATACTAGGATCCACCGAGCAGCAGCTGTGACCTGTCCTGAAGGGGAGGGGTATGTGGGAAGGGTGGGACTTCTCTGCCAAGTTAGATGTCACCTGGTGCTTGTGTGAAGTATTTACTGGGTGGCTACACCTTCAAGTCGTTTTCAGGAATGAGTCCATAGCCTGAGCCTCTGGCCTTGATGCAAGGGGCCTAGCCACTGAGGTTTGGACCTGGCTGTTGAGGGCAGTTGCTCTGGGGAGGAGATAAGACTGAAGTGTGCTGGACCCACAGGACTGGGGAGCTGCTGCAACATCTGAGTCTGGAACTGTGACCCTAGTTGGGGGCCATGGGGCTATGGCTGCATTCAGAGGATGAGGAGTCGGGCTGCTGTTTGAGTGGGAGGTGCACGGGGAGAAACATGCTGCTCCCCTAAGCCTGGGGGTAGACTGGTGTGCACCCAGACCCAGGGTCCCCTCCCCTCTGCCCTCCTCCCCCGCCCTTGCCCTGTCAGCACCAGTGTTGCTGAGAGCGTAGAAGCTGAGGCTGCAGTTGCTCTGGTCCCGGGGGAAGTGGAGGAGCTCAAAGTTGCAGTTGGTCTCCGTGGTGAGGGCCATGTTGAGCTCCACACGGCCATCCTGGTTGACTCGGACCTGCGGGCTCTGGTCCCTCCAGTCCACCCAGAGCCTGTGGGGAAAAGTACCAACCACAGCCAGAGAGGCCCAACCCTTTGGAGTGTGGCAGGGGAGACCCAGCATCTCACCCCCAAACTCAGCTGCTGTCAGGGTTCTGGCACGGAGAGGGGAATGCACAGCAATGGAGGCGCACTGGTAACTGGGCACTAATATGGCCTCCAGGCCGTGGATGGGGGAAAGGAGGGATGTGCACGGCAGGTTCCTGGGACAAGAACTCCAGCCTCACTTACGCCTCCAAGATGGTGATTCTGGGCGTCCAGAGTGAGTCCCAGGGCAGCGTGACTGCCTGCCACGGGTGTGCACTAGCGTTCCAGGCCAGACGAGTGTCCAGCCAAGACTGGGGACACAAGGATGCCACTGAGGCTCCAGCTTGCCTTGTATATGAGCCCCTAAATTCAGCAGTTTGATGAAGCCCCATACTCGGCTGGGTTCTCCTGCCCTACCTCCCCCAAGGTGAGAGCTCACCAGCCGAAGCAGCAGCATAGAGGACACTGTGTACCGCAGAATGTCCTGGGGAAGAGGCAATGTATCACCTTGGGGGTGGGCGCTGAAGGAGGCAGGAGACCCCAGTACTAGTTGGGGCTGATTCTGGCCCCCTTCCCAGCTCAGCACTTGAGTCCGTGGCCTGATGTCACTTACCACATTAAACACATTGGACACGAACACCTGTGCGCCCATGAGCAGGGGTGCGCTCCCATTGTTAGGAATTTGGATGATTTCCTGAACCTCCTGGGGCATGTTGAGGTTGAAGAGAGATGGCCAGACTGAGGGATAAAGGTCAAGATTATTCAGCTGCCCTAGGGCCCAAATCCCAAGCTTACAACCTTATGCCCTCCACCTACCGACTGCTGGGCCTTGAAAGCTGCGTCCCCGGACTAAGGGGCAGGTGATGCTGAGCCCCAGAAAGGCGAGATGGAGCAGGAACTGCAGAGCCATCATCAGTGGCTGCACGGAGGAGCAGGATGGAGCAGTGGTGCCCAAGTGGCTGCCTCTACTCCAGTCACTTCTCTGGCAACTGAGCAGGTGGTCAGAGGCAGCTGTTCTGTGCGAGGACCCTGACATGGCACCCTCCCCCCATCCTGGTTCTGCAAACACCCAAAGACAAAGCCCAGGACCCAACCCCACCCACCCTGCACCTGCCTAAATGTCCCTGCCCTGCTCCATTTCCACCACCTGGAACCCGTTGTCAAGCTTACTGCTTGCCGAGGGGGACTGGGAAGGCCTGGGCTCCCCACGTCTTCCCACCTTGGTCCTTCCAATCAGGGCCACAGCCCTCCCTTGCATTTCAAGTGGCCAGCGCCGGCTTGGAGAAGAACCCAAACCCTTGGTCATAGTGCCCTGTGCTCAACCATGTAAGATGGGAATACCCTTGAGGGCTTCCCCGCTTCCGTTAAACACTGAACTTCTTTTATGTAAAGAGCCTTGGCTCACTAACCCTGGGAGTGGGGCAGACCTGGGGCAGGCAGAGGCCAGCTCATGAACAAGGACCCAGGGCATTCCGGTTCCTGCATTGGCTTGCCCAGCCTAGAAGTGCCTTGGAGTTGCTGCTATGCACCTGGAACCCAATCTGCCCTGGGGGTGACTTTTCCTGGCCCCTTGGAGAAACTGAGCCACTGGAGACCTGATCCCACCCAGCAAAAGCCAGGGAAGAAAACACCAAGGCCAAAAGTGGGTGGGGGCTGACTGGCTGCCCAGACTCAGGGGCCCCTGGGAGCTGGAAGCAGTTGAGGACCTGTCACACACGAGAGCATGAATGCAACCAGGAACACACGCCGTGTCTGTCTGTCATTGATCGACTTTATCGAACGCGCTTTAAACACTCTGCCTGCCTCTGTCTCACGCGTTGGCGGCCGCCAGTTCGCAATGTATATATACACCTGGCGCCTCCGGATGGCCACAGACCAAGAGCCATCGATCGGTCGTCCTGAGCTCTCCAGCCTCCGTTAGGGATTTTTACGCCGATTGTAGCCCGGCCGCCTTCGGTGCGGTGCGGGCAGCCCTCTTCCCTGCAGCTCAGCAATGGGCCCTGCGCTCACCCGTCGGGATTCCCCCGTGAAGTCCCAGAGGCTTCTTCCCACAGAGCCTTGAGACAACGAGAAATGTGGAGACAGCGCGTCACTACACATGAAATGGCTCGTGCGTTTTATTGACAGACAAAACTCTCCCCACAATCCCAGACCGATGACTACAACCCTTATCACCCAAGCCTATCCCCAAGGGCCGTCAGGTCACACTAACTGTCAGGACGCTGTCGCCGGCCTTTTCGTCCCGCCGGGACTGGCCGGTGGCGGGGCTTTTCGTCCCGCCAGGACTGGCCGGTGGTGGGGCTGCGTGGTTGGGAAGCGTCGGGGCAGACACCGTGGGGCCCGCCGCCTCGCTCACGTGCGTCAGGTCAGTGGACTCGCGCTCCAGCACGCTGCCGCTGTGGGTGCCCGGCGCGGCCGCACGCACTCGGCCCGAGGCCCGGCGAGGGGCGCGGCCCAGCAGGCCCGCGCAGATCTTGCGGAAGCCCTTTCGGAAGTGCTTGGAGACCAGCGCGTAAACGATGGGGTTGACGCAGGAGTTGGCGTAGGAGACCAGGTGCGAGAGGATGCGCAGCGCGTACGTGGCGCGCGTGAGCGGGAAGCGGCCGAACCACACACAGAGAATGAGCGCGTGGTGGGGCATCCAACAGAGGCAGAAGAGCGCGGCCACGATGAGGATCATGCGAGTCACTTTGCGCTTGGCGCGCCGGGCACCCGAGCCCGCGGCTCCCGGGTCGACCGCGCGCCAGAGGTAGCGCAGGGTGCGCGCGTAGGTCAG